CGCCAAGCCGCTGGGCCGCCGGCCGTGTCCCTCGCCTAACCAGGCCACGACTGGGCCGCCAGGTCTTCATCCGGCCGAAAAACCGGACCGGACCCGGGCCGGGTCCACCACCAAGCCGCTGGGCCGCCAGGCCGCGCCCCTCGCCAACCGGCCGCGCCCGGGCCGCCAGGTTTCCCTCGGCTGTCAGATCTTCCTCCGGCCGAAAAACCAGGCCGGAGCTAAGCCGCGCCCCTCACCGTCGTCCGTCAGGTCTTTCCTCCAGGCCGAAAAGCCGGGCCGCTGGGGCGTCAGGCCGCGCCCCTCCCCGACCAGGCCGCGCCCCTCAACAGCCTCAACAGCCAGGCCGCGGCCGGGCTGTCAGGTCTTCCTCCAGGCCGAGCCGTCTTCCTCCAGGCCGAGCTGTCGGGCCACGTCTCTCGCCGCGTCTCTCGCCGCCCAGGCCGCGACCGAGCCGTCAGGTCTTCCTCCGCCCGAGAGTCGAAACCAGGCCGAGCCTACCGCCGGGCTACCAGGCCGCACCCTTAACTCAGGCTGAGACCAAGGAGACCGGGGAGCTCAGCCGAACCCGGGGGGCTCAGGAAGACCGGGGGTGACCGGTAAGTTGTTCCTCCCGGCCGCCGGAGGACCCAGTACCCTAAATCAGGGTCTAGGCAAAGCCTTCGACCCTCCGAGGCTCCCCATTCCCGCTGCCGGCTCCGCTTTCCCTACGGAGCGTGCTCCAGACGATCCGCCATGCAGCGGATTTAATTGAATCTAATACACTTCAATCCTTTTTCCTGGAAATAGCTCATATTGATTTAAATTGACAAAGACTGCAGAATAACAAATGAGCAGAAAAAATGTACATGGTTGAGTATTTGTGCCCTAAACATTTCCTAGATACTATTACAGAATTTTAAGCTTTGTTACTTAATGATTCTTCAGTTAGAGCAGCGGTTCTCAACATGTGGGTCGCAACCCCTTTGGGGGTCGAACGACCCTTTCACAGGGGTCGCCTAAGACCATCGGAAAACACATATTTCCGATGGTCTTAGGAACCAAGACACCGCTCCTCTATCCGTCTCCAGGCGGATGTACTTATGCGGACCAGTCACACATGTGTAGAGAGCAGCTAATGTGTGGAAAGCAGTGTAGACTCATTTTAGCCTCCCACTAGTCGTCCTCTCTTAGCCACCTGACTTGGTGCTCTTGGACACCATCCTCTTCTTTCCACCCCTTCAGTTCCGTCTCCGTTTAGCGCTGAAGTGGCGCCCTCTTTAAATTAGGCATCCAGGCAGCCGCAGCTCCTGCCCTGAAGCCAAGATGGATGCAACCATTGGCAAGCAGGGAAAGGAAGTCGCTGAGAGTAGCTCCTCCCATGTGACATGTGCGGAAGCAAAATGGACGAGTGATTGGAGCTGCTGTCTCTTCAATCCTCAATCATGAGCAAAAAGAATCAGGTTTCGTATGTGAAGCCGGCCGAACCCGCTTTCCTGAGTCGTTTCAAAGAGTGAATCGGCTATCGGGAGGGGCCCACTGTGGATACCAAGGTAACAGCATCAAACTCCCCCTTTTAGAAAACCAACTTTTGTCACAATTATCTATAATTTTGTCTCATCCCAATTAAATTATCTTTTTCCGTTCCTTTGACCCGTCCTTTCCTTAAAATCCATCCCCAGATCCTTCGTTCAGCGTGAGGTGGAAAGTGATAGCTGCCCCACCTATTCCCCACCAGGGCTGCGAGAGAGGGCTGGCAAGACTGGTGTCTGAATTTTCTGAGTCAGGACCACACCTGAAATACTGCATCCAATTTTGGTCATCACACTACAAAAAAGATGTTGAGACTTAGTTGTAGAGAAGAGCAACTAAGATGATTAAAAGCCTGGAGACTAAAACATATAAAGAACGGTTGCAGAATTTGGGTTTGGCTATCTAGAGAAAAGAAGGGCTTGTGGGAGACATGATAGCAGTGTTCCAGTATTTGATGGGCTGCCACAGAACAAATAGACTTGTTGTGGAAGATGATCTTCGTTGTGCTCTAGCAAAGACTGCCCTGAGAATTTCTGATCTGGTGAGAAAGAAGCAATCTCAACCTTCGCACTGACGTTGGCTTTTTACGCATATTGTCGCAAAATGTAGTAATGTAGTTTACTGTTGTTATATTAAGACTGTTACCCATGCTACACCATGCTTCAAGACAAAATTTCATTTATTTGTAATTAGAAATAAATATTTCACAATATATAATTACATATTGTTTTTGTGATTAATCACTATGCTTTAATTATGTTCAATTTGTAACAATGAAAATACATCCTGCATATCAGATATTTACATTATGATTCATAACAGTAGCAAAATTACAGTTATGAAGTAGCAACAAAAATAATTTTATGGTTGGGGGTCATCACAACATGAGGAACTGTATTAAATGGTTGCAGCATTAGGAAGGTTGAGAACCACTGAGTTAGAGGATTTATTTTCTAAGCTTATTGCATAAAAAATTAGTAGGTAACTTTTTAGTGCTTGTGATTAGTAGAATTAGTGACTTGGGATCCCTTATTTATTTATTTAGAGCAATAATATGGCTGCTGAACTTGAACAATACAACTCTGGCATCATACAGTAAACAAAAAATATAAAAATAAAATAAACTATATCAACTAAAAACAAAAACCATTAATTGATAATTAGGGACTCAAATTTATTATATATCTCTGGATGGGAATACTAAACATTTGGGTTTAAATGTCTAAGGAAAAGCCCATATTTTCAGTTCTTTTCTAATGGCTACTACTGGAGAAGATTAACTGCTAAACTGAAAGTGGTAACATTTTTACATCTGTTTAATAATAAGCTATCATATTTTAAATCATTTGAATTTTCCAGAAAGGCAGTTCACAAATAACTGGGATAATTTAATTGGGATGAGACAAAATTATAGATAATTGTGACAAAAGTTGGTTTTCTAAAGTATGGTTACAAATAGTTCATATCCTAATCTTAAAAAAGAATGGTATATGAACCTACATATACCACTTAGGCATTCAGTGATAAGGCCATAAACAGAATTATACCTAGTCATTTGAGGAAAGTGCATCTCTATCCTAGATTCTTAGATTAACTAAGATTCACCATTTTTAATCAGAAACAATAAGCAGAGGCCATTCAGGAGCTTGGACCACAGAACTCATAATCTTTGTTGATTAATTGTTTTCAAACTTAATATTATCTAAAAAAAACTGCATGCCTTTGCTATATATTTTTTCATTTCAAGATTGATGAATTTTGAAAAGTAATCATGGTTTCCATTTTTGTGTTTTTTTTATAGAAATGCTACAGTTTGTCAGCAATCAGGTTGGAGATTTTCCAGATTTATTTTCTGAACAGTTATATGGCACATTCCAAAGCAGCAATGCATGTAATGGAGACAGAATATCAGATACTTCACAGAAAGCCTACAGCCAGGGACAGTTACAATCCTCTTCTCCTAGTGCAGTTTCTCCACCACAACTTCAGTCTGTGCAAGTGAAGACCTCTCAGTCAACAGGCACAATTCCTGCTCCACAGCGGGCTGCACCCCCTCTTCAACCTCGCCCCCAAGTTCAACCCCCACTTCAGCAACAGACAGTGATGATTACTCCAACTTTCAGCTCCTCTCCCCAGACCCGGTTCATTCAGCAACCTGTAATATACCAAAATGCAGCCACAAGTTTTCAAGGTAACTCCCATGGTCTTCAAAACAATAAAAAACACAGCTTTATAGAGCACTAGGATAAAAATCCTTACCTTCATCATCACAGATGAGTTAGGAATATCTGGAATACAGCATTATTTAGCACCATATCCATGTTGCCAGTGAGAGACAAGAATATGAAAATTAGTGCAAAGTGTGTACAGGTAGTCCTTGGCTTATGATCGGTTATCCATTCCAACAATGGATTTGCTTAACAATTGCAATGATTCATTTAATCGGTTAAGTTAATAGATAATACATTCAGCATGGTCACATAATGACCCACTTATTGAGCATAATTCCAGGCTCAGTAATGGTCTTAGATCAAGGACTGCCTGTAATCTTAATACTTTTGCAATAAGGGTTTGCTATTTGGTTGAAATATATATTCTATTTTCAGAGTTGTTTATAAGAAATACAATTAAACAGCACAATCAATAAAATATATAATGTTTAAAATAAAACTTGTACAGTTATAAAAACTCATGCTGGTACACAAGTATGTAATTAAAAATCAAGAATTATATCACTGGTTAAGGCAGTACGGTCCTAATGTAATATTAAAATATTAAAACTGAATAGAAGATATTTTGGGTGGATTTTGCTCATTTTTAGTTGTTAGATTATAATAACTACAGCAATTACCTATATGTTTTTTGTTGAAGCACAGCCTATCACCAAGGATCAGAGACTACAGTTCTTATTGTGGAAGTCATAATTTCGCTTGAGCATTTTCAGACTTTTCTTATCTTCTTTCTAGTGCTGCAACCTCAGGTTCAAAGCTTGGTGACTTCCTCCCAGGTTCAACCAGTTACCATTCAACAGCAGGTCCAGACCATGCAAGCTCAGAGGGTACTGACACAGAGTACCAGTGGCACCATCCAGACACTAACACCAGCGACTGTCCAGGCAGTAGCTGCCCCTCAGGTTCAGCAGGTTCCGGTGAGTTCTTTTAGTGTCTTGAGGGAGGGAAGGGAATAGTATATATTGGTATTCTGTTCCAAGGCAAGAAATAACTTCACTAACATAATGTTTGGCTTTTAAGTAATGAAATCCCTCAGGTTCAAAGGTCATTGATGCTAAACATAAGAAAATAAAAAGGAATTACAGTACTGGTATTGGAAAAAAATTAGTAAAGAAATTTTGGAAAGAATGGATAATGCTATTATAATAATTTCAGCACCCGGGGGTTTGGTATTTCAGCAGCAGATCGGGTGAGCATTACAAAGAATATATTCCTTACTTCACTTCTAAAAGCTTTTATTAGGTGGAGATTAAACTCTTTAAAGCCAATTTTATTAATTAAGAGAAATGATTGGATTGATTGAATGTCACAGTGAAAGTTAGCTGTAACATATATGAGGTTAGTACCTGTATAATCTGGGCTTCTGGTATATGTAGAAAGAAGCCTCGGAGAGAAGTTATATTGAAACAGTAGTTATGGCTGTTTCTTGCATAGTGGGACTCTGTAATGTAACAGAGGGACTAGTAATAACAACTTTCCATTTCTGTGTTTGTTTTCATTAAATGTTTACTGTCTTGCCTCCTTCCAGGTCCTCGTCCAGCCACAGATAATCAAGACAGATTCTCTTGTCTTAACTACATTGAAAACTGATGGCAGTCCTGTTATGGCTACTGTTCAGAATCCAGCCCTGGCAACCATAACCACACCCATACAGACAACAGCTCTGCAGGTATCATAGGGCTCCACACGTTATCTTTCGAATGGTTGCTTTCTTCCTTTTACTTATAGGGTTCTTTCCCATCGAGATTCTTAAAACTGCATATGAGCATTATAGTACATATGGTATAGTATTTTCTGGGAACAAATTGGTATATTGAGCTTATATAATCACTCTTGGAATGAAAAAGGATAAACTTTTTTTCAATGTAATTCCTCAGACTATATATGTAAATATTGGGAGGAGGGAATTATAAGGGCTGACAGTTAAAACTATTGAAAGGTCTCTTCTTGGTAACCACTTTTTCTTTACTTCTCTTATTTGTGTCCTCTTTATGTGTTCAAATTTTTACTAAGTTTTTTTGTGTAGCCACAGTACTATTGTCTTTTGGTCTTCCAGTTTTTTCCACAGTGAAATTATTTGCAACAGTGCTTTTAATATATTTTTAAGACCTTCCCTCTATCTTAGATTTCTTTTTCTCTGCCAATAATATTAGGTTCTCCTACCATATAATCTTGTTTATTGTCACTCTGAATTTATTAAAATATGTTTTTGTGGAGTCCACGTTATGTAGCTTATTACTCTTAAAGAAATCTATTGTTACACATTTGTTTTACTCCAGTGGTCCCGATGATGATGATGATGATGATGATGATGATGATGATGATGATGATGATGATAATAATAATAATAATAATAATAATAATAATAATAATAAAAGATACACAGCTGGAATAGTGGACTGGACTCAAGCAGAACTAAAAGTAATGGATAGGAAGACCAGAAAAATAATGACAATGAATCATGCCCTTCATCCACGCAGTGACATTGACAGACTTTATCTACCAAGGCAAATAGGTGGGCGTGGAATGCTGCAAGTACATCACATGGTTGAAGAAGAAAAAGTGGCTTTGGAAGAATATCTGAAGGACAGTGATGAAGATGCACTGAAATTAGTATATCAGGAGGGCTTACTGACTACTGGAGAGACCAAACTGGCCTACAAGAAAGACCAAATGAAGAACAGAATAGAGGTATGGGAAGACAAAGCACTACATTGCCAGTACATTAAAAAAAATAGCTGGGAAAGCAGATAATAACAAGACCTGGCAATGGCTAAGAGCAGGAAAATTGAAGAAAGAGACCGAGGGACTAATTCTGGCTGCACAAGACCAAGCCTTAAGGACAATTGCATATAAAGTCAAAATTGAGAAGACAGCAACAGACAGTAAGTGCCGCCTATGCAAAGAAGCTGAAGAAACAGTGGACCACCTGGTAAGCTGCTGCAAGAAGATCGCACAGACTGACTACAAGCAGTGGCATGATAAAGTAGCAACAATGGTGCATTGGAAGATCTGCAAGAAATATCATTTGCCTGTAAGCAAGACTGGTGGGATCATAAAATAGAGAAAGTCATAGAAAATGAAAAAATTAAACTGCTTTGGGACTTCAGAATTCAAACAGACAAGCACCTGCAACATAACACCCCGGACTTAACAATTGTCGATAAGAAAGACAAAAAAGTCTGGATAGTGGACGTGGCAGTGCCTGGAGACAGCAGAATAGACGAGAAAGAACTGGAGAAGATAAAATACAAAGACCTACAAATAGAAATAGAAAGACTGGCAAAAGCAAGCAAGAGTAGTACCAATAGTAATAGGCGCCTTGGGTGCAATCCCAAAACAACTGGAGCACCATTTGAACACCATTGGCATTGACAAATTCGCCATTAGTCAATTGCAAAAAGCGGCCTTACTAGGAACTGCTTCCATCCTGCGACGATATCTGTAATACCATCAAACATCCACATCTGCCTATCCCAGGTCCTTGGTAAGGACTCGATAGGTAGACAAAATGCCAAATCCAGTCTGAACATCTGGCTGACTGTGCGATGATCCATAATAATAAAAATAATTTTATTGTCACTTTGAATGTACACCAATCGGCATACATCAAAATGAAATTTTGTTGCATACAGCTCTCAAAGGGCCACCACCTCCAATAGACATTCCTTGTTCTATTGTTTCAAGTTTCAGAATGTCCATTTTAGGGAGCGAATGATGGCAAACAGGACAGATGGAAACGGAGCTCCATGTGGATTAGCCCTCAAATTAGCTTGCATGACAACCTCCCCTCCTTTCCTTTTTCTGATCCTGTCTTTTCCACCTTTTCCTTAAAGGGGCCTCACTCCTTTTCGCCCCTGGAGCACACTGCCGCCACCTCCAACTCCTCCAAAAGCCTCTCTCTCTTTCTCTGGGCCTGCTGACAGCCTCATCCAGTTCCTTCGCTCCATAAGCCTTGGGACCTCTCCTCCTCTGCCTCCTTCGGAAACAGGCCTGATCTGCAAGAGAATCCATTGCTGTGCCAGCAATCAGATCTTGCTGCCGACAGAACAGTTTCAAACAGCGCAAATGACTTTTAATGGTCTCACCAACAGTTCTGAAACAGCTAAAAACTTGCCATACTAGCAAAGATTGTCGGTCGTATGTTAGCTTAGTCCCACCACATTGCTCAGACACATTAAAACCTTCCCGATCATGGGGCCTATATCCTTTATATCCCTCCAAAAACCTTTCGCCTTTGATAGCCAATGCAGCCGCAGCCGATCCAGGCGCTGCCATCTTAGAACTCATCTTAGAACTACTTTCATTTTATTAAGTTTTGTGCAGTGATGTAAAGTCAAGGATAATCACTTCCATTGTCATTGGAGAAACAGTCAGCAAATGTAATCATGCATAGCAGAGTTTCTCTTTCCACTAGAAATCAGAGAAATTAAAATCCTAATGTCCCTTTTAAAGATATAAAACTTTCTCCTGGAACAACACTTTATCTATGGTTGAACAGGCATAATAGACATTAACATCAGTACTGCTTAGATTTCATATCTTGACTTAATACATACAATCTTCCCTTATAATTCTTAGCTGGAAAAGATCTTTTTAATATTCGGTACAATTTTTTCTTTTCTATTTCTTCCATTCCTTTGTATCCTTTGATTGCTATTTTCCCATTAACCAGTTTGGTCTAATGGTTAAGGCACTGGACTAGAAAGCAACAGACTGTGAGTTCAAGTTCTGCCTTGGTCATGAAAGCCAGCTGGGTGACCTTGGCCAAGTCACTCTCTCTCAGCCCAACTCTTACCTCACAGGGTTGTTGTGGGGGAAAATAGGAGAAGGAAGATATGTTGGATATGTTCTCTGCCTTGATTATTTATACAAATATTAAAGGTGGGATATAAATAAATAAAATAAAAGATAAATAAAAAGTCATGGTTTCAGTTATAACTTCAAAGAGTTAGAATTTAAAAAATGACCAGTTTTAGAAAGTGAAATGCTCTGAGAGATGACCAATAAAAAGCTCTTTTTTTCCCCCAATGAAAGACTATTTTCCTAAGGATATCAGTCTGGCACTTATTCTGATTTCTATTTTTTGCCAGGCCAATGTCTCTCACCCCACAGGCCTATTAAATTATATGTTAACTTGATATTATTAGGTGCTTGACTTTCCTTTATTTTCTTGTTCTGGTTTTTATCCATTTTATGCTGTATAGTTTAAATTTCTTTTTTTTATCTTTCTGATAATAGTTTTGTTATGGCGTGGTCTGTAAAAAATACATATTCTTCACAGCTTGAAAAATATGCATATTTGGACAAATAGCTATTTAATTTACAAAACAGGTGCGAACCTTTCAGATTCTGAAAGCATTTTATCTGCCTAGCATGCAAGAGGCTATAAAAAAAATTTACATACCTAAGGATAGTTTTTTAGATTATGAGGAGACTTTCTCATAAACCGGTCTTTTTTGCTCATAGGTTCTGTCTTTGCAGTTGGAAGCCACTGGTCATGACTGTCATAAGAAAGAGCAGTGCCATTGTCACTATGTCTAAATAGTGGCATTGTTATTCCACTGGAATCCAGAAATATTTATGAATTCTTAAGAACATAGGAGAGTGCATTGTTTATAGCTGTCACTGGTTTATTTAGGGTTGTTTTAGGGTTTTGTAATAAATAAGAACTGTTCTTGGTATTTAGTGATGGGTGTTTCCCAGCCTCTTTATCCAGATTTTTGATATAGAGAATATGAAATCTTATTTATATAGAACATAATCTTACTGCTGAATTGTGAGCCATTCTTTTGTTTCTCAGTTGTTTTGTAAAATGTGGAATTTTATTTTGGTCACATATTTTTTATTAATTTTTATTAAAGAATTACTTTACTGAACAATACAAATTTTAAAAAGATAAGGAAACTAGAAATAAAGGAAAGTAAAAGTGATGAGAGAGAGAGAGAGAGAGAGAGAGAGAGAGAGAGAGAGAGAGAGGAAAGAAAAAAGAACAGGTAAAGCAGTGGCTTCCAATCTTTTTTACAGCAGTTATAAGTGCATTTTTATTTTATCCCCATTAAGATTACACTGTGGCTCCCTTCTTTCCATATTCTGTCCTTTCCAATCATCAAACCCATATACTACATTTATTTTTTCCATTTTCATATCCATAAAGAGTTTCTATTCACTAACAAAAGTAGTTGTCTTTTCCCTAATCAAACAAGTCAGTTTTGCCATTTCTCCAAATTCTGTCATCTTCACCAACTGCTCTTTCACTGTTGGTATTACAGAGTTATTCCATCTTTCCTATATATAATAATCTCACTGCAGTTACCATGTACAAACACCATAATATTTTTCTAATTGTCTGTTAGCTCCAGTAATGAAAGTTCTGGTTTCAGTTGTATATTAATCTTTAAAATTTTTATATTGCTATATGCATTTGAATCCAAAATTTACTAGGTTTTTTCAAGTCCACCAAGCATGATAAAACAACCCTTCATGTTTTCCACATTTCCAACATAGATTTGAAATATCTTTATACATTCTAGATAGTTTTTCTGGTTTCATATGCCAATGGTACTTCATTTTATATTTTTTTTTATAAACATACATGTGAATTTCAGTCCTTTCAGCCACATGTTTTTCCTTTGTTACATCTGTATGTTATAAACAACGTTTTTATCATATGCTGTTTAACCTGTTTTCATTTCAGATTTTAGTAAAAGCGTATACATTTTAACAATTACATGTTCATCATTTGCCCATAATTCAGTTTCAAATTTTGTCTTATATTGTTCAATTCCAAATGTGCCATTGTTTACTTTAAATCTTTTTTGAACTGTACATATGAAAACCATGTCACAGATCTTACATGAAAAATTAATTGCTGCTGTTGACTTTTTAGACTTTGGTTGGTAGCAATGGGGCCATCTTGACAACTATGCCTATGATGATGGGAGGGCAGGAGAAGATGCCCATTAAACAAGTGCCTAATAACACCAAGCAGCCAGAACCACCAAAGGAAGGAGAAAGGCGAACAACTCATAATATTATTGAGAAGAGATATCGATCATCTATAAATGACAAGATCATAGAACTGAAAGATCTAGTCATGGGAACAGATGCTAAAGTAAGAATTGCTTAGTTGAAAAAGCAAAAATATTTGCAATAGCTACAAATCTATTTGTCATGTTTGCAGTTGGCATGCTATTTAATGTTCTTGTTGGTGTCCCTTTCCATTGAATTAAATCTCTAAATAATAATAATAAGTTTTTGGAAGAACTCAATAGATGGCTAAAAATGCCAAATCCAGTCTGAATATCTTGCTGATTGTGTGACCAACTATAATTTTATCCTGCCCTTTTTACATATTGCTCAAAGCAGTAAACATATCTAATACCTCTGCTTCCTACTTTCCCTGTAACAACAACCCCTTTGAGGTGGATTGGTGTGAGACAGAGTGACTGGTCCAAAGTCACCCAAGCAGCTTTGTTTAAAGGAGGCCTAGAATTTACAGGCTCTTGGCTTCTGGGTCAGCACCTTAACCACTATACCAAACAGGTTCTCTAACCCCAAATCCCCTATTTATTTTTAAAATTTATAGGCTGCCCATCTTACCTCAAGATAACTCTATACATACACAAATTTAAGAAAACGTTTACTGCTAAATAAAAATGTGATAAGAGATGACAAGGTAGATAAATAAACAATCATATGCATTCTTTTCAGATGCACAAGTCTGGTGTATTGAGGAAAGCTATTGACTACATTAAATACCTACAGCAGGTTAACCATAAATTGCGACAGGAGAACATGATCCTTAAGCTGTCTAGCCAGAAAAACAGTTAAGTGTTTTAAATATTACATTTCATTGTTTTAGTTTAAGTAAAGCAGGTATTATCAAAGTTAATTAAATGATTTCATGTCCCCTTGCATTGATTGATGTTCTAATTGATTATGCCTTTAGCAGATAGATGTGCAATTAATAAGCGGAGATTTAATTACATGAGGTATTGCGAATGGAATAATTAATTGGTGTGATCTTTTCTCACAGAATTGCTGAAGGGTTTTGACTTAAGCAGTCTAGTGGACAATGATGTGGATATGAAGATGGACGAATTCAATCAAAATGCTGTGTTGATGTCCCCTCCAGCTTCTGACTCAGGATCACCAGCAGGCTTTTCCCCTTATTCAATTGATTCAGAACCGGGAAGTCCACTATTGGATGATGCAAAGGTAGCTAATATTCCTAAGGCAATCTGCACTGGGAAGCATAGACAAGATCCCATGTGTGATACTGATTCAGATGGAGATATATCATCTGCTTCCCATTAGTATAAAGTTGTATCTTCAGTAATTTATCACATTTTACATTGACTTTTCTAGATCACTGATCAATAATGAGCAATGGCATTTTTTTTACCAACTGAATCCTCCAGACTTATCAGATTCAGCTCTTCTCATTATGAGAAATCCTGTACCAAAGTCCATAAAAAGTCCTATAACGTTTAGGGTAATATTTTGCTTTATATTAAAGAAATCATAAAGTTGAATAAACCAGAACATTCAAAGGGATAAAGCCTTTCTCAATATCAGTGTTTCATGCTAGTTGCTAAAATGTTGGAGATATACTATCACTGCATTTGAACAGGATATTTGAGACAGGTTTGAGATAAAATAAACAAATAGAGGCATCTGCAAGAGAAATGGTATATGGGTAATTTCAGACTGAAACTTCAAATTGAAATGGACTGGGATTGATGGTTGGATTACAACAAAAATGAAATTTTTCAGATTTGTTTGTGAGCGTCTGGAAACACTAATGAGGACTACTTATACTTGCATGTATGATTTACTATATCAGCCTGCAACAGTAAAATTGGTACACAGATTAGTTCATAAATTGCTCCATGATCTTCAGAAGCATAATTAGACACATCAAAGATAAATCTCATTATAAGATTTGAAATAAAAAGTGATTTTAGTAAATTGTAAATGTTTAAATTATTTAAGTCTTTTAAATCCACCACTTGGAGAAAAGTATGAATAGATCTACAGGCTTTCTTTTATTTCCAATTCAGTGGCCTTTGGGGGGATTTTGTAATGGTGGAACATTTTTATAAGAAAATAATCAGAGAAGAATAAATCTGCTATAAAGAAGATATTGAAAATTCTGCCTTGTGCAAGTTAGAGCAACTATTTGTCTTAAGTGTTTCAGAACTAACTCTTCTATATTGAATCTTCCACAGGTTAAAGATGAACCTGATTCCACACCTGTTGCTCTTGGAATGGTTGATCGCTCACGGATGCTGCTTTGTGCTCTCACATTCCTCTGTCTCTCCTTTAATCCTTTAACATCCTTTTTGGACAGCAAAGAAACACCGGACACTTACAGCACAGTGCATCATGGTTCTGAGAGGAATATACAAGCAATAAAACCAGGTATATATCTCCAGTAGTGCTTATTTGATATCTTTCAAGCTTTTTTCATTTCAATTTTCCCCCCCAAAATTAGATCATAGTCAAGATATGGAATATTTTCTTCCATTTTGGTGGTAGACTAGCCTGTTTCTTTATTAGAGACTATATTTAACAAAAGTCCACAAATATCCGCCTCCAAAGGTCTAATAGCCAACTTCACCACCCAAATATCAGATTATCATTTCTCTTTTACTGTCATATCCAATCACAAAGATAGAGTTGTAATGTCACTTTTGGCCACCAGATGTCCGCAGTGGACTGTAAAATCTTTTTTCCAAGTTGATAAAGTTAAAGAAAAAAAAGTTTTCACTCTTATTTTTTAAAATTTAACAAGAGAGGTATCTCCAACATTATAAAGTTGATAGGAACAAATTAGCAATGTCCCTTTTTTCTTCTTTTCCCCTAAATATCCCCACAAAGAAAATCCAATGGTAGAAAAAACAACCAAAAAAGACAAAGAATTTTTTTTTCTTTTAAGCTCTTTTTCCGATATAGGCAGCCGCCGCTTTCTTAGCAAAGGGAAATAGTCAGAGCTCTTTACAGGAAAGATCAAGATAGCGCGAGAAAAAGGAGTCTCACCCAGATTCACCACGGTGAGTCTTCATGCTTAGTTGTTCTTTTGACTTGCGGTTGGTGCAGCTGGGTGATCGGCCATTTTACTGGCCGATCTTCGTCGGCCCTTAGAGTTCGCTCGGCCAGCTGGGGCAACCGCCACTCCTCCGCAGCCGAGCACAGCCTCCTCGACGGTAGTCGCACCCTCCAGGGTGACTTTCGACCCGCATAAGGGTCTACTGGCAGAGGGAAACTAGCTGATGAGGAGACGAGTCTCCTCGTATGGCTAGAGGCGCCGTGATCCGGAACCGGAAGTTGATATCTTTCAAGCTTTTTTAAGACAAGTACAGTAACTAAATGGCTAAAGGAAGAGAAAACAATAGATGATGGTCCGTTGGCTAATGATATATTCTGGAGTATTCTGTTTTAAAAGGTGATTACAATTTTATTATGATAATTTATAAATAATTGGCTGGATATTACTATCAATATCATTCTCATTTCTCTGACCCAGTTAATGGGTACTTATGTGCAAAAGGATTGTGAGCTTTTGAGATGTACATTTCTAGGTTTCTTTAATGAATTGAAATTTTACTGTGCATTTGTGAGGATTTTGTTAGTGTTTCTGTCTGCTGTATGTCATTCAGATTTTTTAAATTGTAGCATACATGTATTTGTTATGAGGGATGGATTGAATCATATTAGGTTCTTATTTTGGAGAAGGTGTTGTGATTTATGTATGTTGTGTATTTTTTTCTGAACATCTCTATCTTATGTAAAATGATATTTTCTTGTATGTATATACCTGGGGGGAAGGAGTTCTGCATGGGAACAGTACTATTTCAGAGAAGAATAAATAGGATGAGAAGAAAGCAAGTTGACTAAGCTTAGCATGATCTTTATATAATCAAGGTTTTCCCAAGAATGCTTATCTTAAGATGTGAACTGTTATTTCTTGTCTGATTTATGTCTTTTGGTCTGAATAATTCTGTTAGAATCAGGTGGCTGGTTTGGCTGGATGATGCCCACTTTGATCTTGTGGCTTGTGAACGGTGTTATTATCTTGAGTGTATTCATAAAACTGTTAGTGCATGGAGAGCCAGTGATACGACTGCATTCCCGTTCTTCTGTGACGTTTTGGCGGCATCGGAAACAGGCAGACCTGGACTTAGCTAAGGTGAGGCAAAGGCAAGAGAAATTTTTTATATTCTTTTTGAGTGGAACACTGTTTTCTGTGTCTAAATGCTGATTTTAATTAGAAGGAGTAAGTTATTTTGGTTGAATATTTGTTTAAGTGGACTGAGACTTGAAGTTTAACTGAAGGATTAACAGCAGGATTTCAAGGTAATACAGATCCAGATTTTTGGTGTTTCAGATATGTCATGGTTCAAGTAAGTTGATGAGGATGAGGAAGCGAGAAAAAGTCTATGGTATATTGAAACATGATGGCAATTTAGCTGGTTTATCAATGGCTAAGGAGACAAATGTTGTTTACTAGACTCTCCAAAATCTGAATGATAAATGAGGTTGTCAAAAAAAATTAATGCTTAAAAATGAGTGAAGATGGAGAATAAAATTTATATCTTCAAAGATGACTCAGAATAGTCTGAAAATTAGGAAGTGATGAGACTCTCAAAGGTCTACTTTTCAACTTTAGCCTGTGTTTTACTACTTTTGTTTGCAGGGGGACTTTGCTGCTGCTGCATCAAATTTGCAGATCTGTCTTTCTACCCTGGGCAGAGCATTGCCTACTTCTCGTTTTGACTTGATCTGTAGCCTTTCCTGGAACATTATTCGTTACAGTCTCCAAAAATTGGGGTTAGTACGCTGGCTGCTAAAGAGGACATCACAGCAGAGACGAGCAACTGAGACTCCTCTTGGCTTTGAAGATGAAGCCAAAACTAGTGCGCGAGATGCAGCATTAGCGTATCATAAACTTCATCAACTCCATATTACAGGTAGATTAAAAAAAATTAACAGTGGTTTAAAAGGTAAAGATTCCCTCAGGTTAAGTTTGATTCCTGATGCCTGCCTACTTCATGTAGTTTTCTTTGCAAAATAAGGAAAAGCTTTGCTTTTTAATAATTTTATGTCTTAGAGTCTATAGAGTGCTCCTTGTTTTTGATAATGCAAGATTTTGCACAATAAGATATTGTGCAATATCGCAATATATGAATGGTACTAAATTTCAGTAGCTAAAAGAGCTTTTCCAGATGAAACCATGCAGTGCATCACTTGTACAAGGTGATTCACAACAGGGTAGAAATGATATTTTTAAATTTTCTGGTGCAGGTGAGCTTCCGTCCAGTTCAGCTTACTCAGGATTGCACATGGCATTGTGTGCTGTAAACCTGGCAGAATGTGCAGAGGAGAAGATTTCACCAAGCACTCTGGCAGAGATTCATCTAACTGCTGCAGTTGGCCTGAAAACTCGCTGTGGTGGCAAGCTGGGCTTCCTGGCGGTGCGTGGATTATTTTGAACCACTTAGCAGGACAGGCAGTCTTCACTTAACAACAGAATTTCCATTGCTAAACAATGCAGTTGTAAAGTCCGATGTCACAGTACTGTATCATTTAGTGAAGGCAATTTCATTAGTCTCCACTCCTTTTGTTAAGTGAGGACCTCACATGACTGACATGGGAAGAGACAGGAATCCAGAAGGTCTGTCTTATGCTACTGAAACTGCATCCCAGGCAAATGGATAGGTGGGCATTAAGAAGTACATGCATGTGGGTGGATGCCATGTGTAGGCCCTATGGAATAGGGGCAGGCCTGTGCTATGTGCGGATGTTATGAAGGGTGTGTACCATGGAAAGGCACTACAGAGTATGAGTGTAAATTCAAGGGATTCCTAAGTGAGGACTACCTGTATTAGGTTAAATACTGTGGCATATTTAAATTATCTTTCTGGATTTACATCTAAAATAAATGAAAGTGACTTCTGTGTTGGTACATTAAAATTTTCATCCATGGATTTCTAACTTTCAATCAAATATTGCATGTTTTCTTCTCAGAGTTATTTCTTAAATCAAGCTCAGAGCTTGTGTACTTCTGAGCACAGTGACATCCCTGATTCCTTACGCTGGTTGTGCCATCCTTTGGGGCAGAAATATTTTGTGGAACGGAGCTGGACAGTGAAAGCTGCTGCTAAGGATAGTCTGTACTCCACTCAGAGGAACCCAGGTGAAAATCAGTAGCTAGAGAAGATACTTTCTTTAAGCCTGTTATCAGTATGGTGGACAGTCCTTATGTGTATGCATTTTCTTTCTCCTGCTAGCTTTATAGATACTTTGGTTTAAAAACTGTTAATGTTAAAAGAACATGTGAAAGCAATAAAGAGGACAGTTTTCCATAAACCAGCATTCTTTCTGCAATGTAGTTTTCTATCTAGAAACAACAAAAGAAAGGCTTACACTCCTGAAGTATTTATTGTTGGACTTGTGAATAAAGTAGTAAACTGATTGTTTTGCCTTCGCATATATAGCTGATCCCATTGCACAGGTACACCAGGCATTCTGTGAAAACCTACTGGAGAGAGCTGTTGAATCCATTGTGAATCCTCAGATTCCCAAAGGGGCTACAAGCCATGATGATGAGACACCTTGGTGAGCCACATTTGAGTGTTGTTGGCAGTTTTCTTGGAAATATTGAAGGATTCAGCTTGTCTGTTCTAATAAAACCATTAATTCAACATTGGAGGAAGAATGGCAATATACATTTCAGCTGCCTAATTTTAAGTAACATGATACAGGACGTGCCTATATGAGTACTGCTTCTCTCATAATACATCACTTAGATTGTACCCATCCACAGTACTAATTGGATATATGGCAAAGTACAATTTCTCTAAATAGTTTGTCCAAATTACAAAAAAACAGATTAACATAAAAAATAAGAGCCTGTACCATGGTGGGCAGTAAGAAGTTTGTTGACATTTGCTATCATACCCATCCATTGCTCAAATTATTTGGGATTGAAGTCCAACATTATTTAATTTTACCATCTTGGCTATGCTTATTGAAATGTTCATGGCAAGCTTCATCATTAAGTTATCTCTGGAGAAAGCCACACAAAAAAATTATCACTGTGCTACAAGAATGAGATTACCATGGTGAACATTGGTTGCCTATCAGAATGTGGATGTGAATGTGATACCTTTTCTTTGTACAGGGGGTCAGTCTTAAAAAGTGTTTTAAAATACAACTTTTAGTTTGTTATGATTCATTGTAAAAATATGATACATTGTCCTAACTACTAAGAGTCTGACTTTGTACTGTTCCTTGCAGTGAATTTGCTAATGCTTTGGACTACTTGAAATTACTAAGTTCTTTTGTGGATTCTTTGGGAAGTGGGATACCACCCTTTTCTGGAAATTCTGTGCTGAAATCTGCCCTAGGTATGTGTGAAAGATACAAGACTTGTTCAGTGGTTTTCATGCTTAACCTCTCTCTCTTCGTCTTTCTTTTCTCTCTCATCCTGAATATATCTCCACTTATTCAGTGCTGAGTTGGTATTGTGTTAAATCTTTTATATTCAATTTTGCTTTTTTATCCACTGTTCAGTTTCAAGGTTTATCAGAGAGACCCACATATCACTAATAATACATTGCCTCCATGCAATGTAGTTAACAACTAAACACAACATAGAAGAAAAAGGTGGAAGGAAGGAAAGAAAGCAAACTCAGCACTAATTTACAACATTATGACAATAATTTAATAACACTAATTGGATTTAAAAAAAAACAAAGCCTGAGTCTCAGCTGACTTACATCATTATTTCAGCCATGCTGCTGGGTGATAATTGATAGAATAGCTTGATGGAAATGATATTTCTGCAGAACTATTGGTGCCTCTGCTTTTATCTCCATTTACATTATTATTATTACTATTTATAGTTCATCGCACAGTCAGCCAGATGTTTAGACTGGATTTGGCATTTTTATCCACTTATTGAGTCCTTCCCATAGACCTGGGATAGGCAGATATGGATGTTTGAATTGTTATTAAATTTCTTGCCCATCTCACGGTTCAAGGTGGCTCGTAGTGACTCTTTCCATATACTTTACATTTATATTATATAATTTCTCTGCACACACACATATATATTAATAACCAAAATACATTTGATTAAATATATTTGATCAATAATGTATCTGATCAATATATATTTCTAAAATATTGGTAGAGTGCATGTTTTTTCAGTCTAATAGCTCTTTCTAATGCTAAAAAGAAACAACTGCAGTCTTATTGAAGAAATGAAAGAAACAATAGATCTGGCCAATCCCCCCCCCCCTTTTTTTTGCTTTTGTTTTGCGTCATGGACATACCCCTGTTTATTACAATTACCACTATTCATGCTAGTCACATTAACACAGGGAAATGTTTAATGATTCAATAAATCACATACTTTTCCTCTAGGAAAGCATAATAATCAGTATATCTTCCCTGCTGTGATCTGAAGATGAATGTTATGACAACCTGCTTTCTGAATTTTTTTGGAATGTTCTGTAAAAATTAGTAATTCAACCAGGAGCTTAATATGTCTTGTAAATTCTAGTTAGTGACTTTAAGAGCAAAGCATCTATATAAGATAAATAAAGAAGGTATTTAATCTAGGAGCAGGTACTGATTAGTATACTTGCCTTAATTACTATTGCAGGTTTGTTCTGACTTGGTCAGATGTTTGTTTTCACTCTTATTAATGGGCCAAACAGCCCATATGTGAGAAACAGCAGCAGGTGTTTGGCTCTTAGCTCTGCAGGCCAAGGTTCAAGATTGTGTCTTGACTACAACAAAAAAGGGAATACCCTTATCTGCGTTATAACACACCTCGGTCCAAGAGTAGATTTACTTGGACCACTTCTCACAACCCTTCCATTTATTCCAGTGATTAGATTAGGCATGTCAAACTCGCGACGTCATGTGACGTCGTGCAACGTATCGTGACTTTTTCCCCATTGCCGGCAATGGGGTGGGCACGGTTTCAGCGTGATGCATCCAGCCCGCGGGCCAGCAGTTTGACATGCCTGGATTAGATAGTAAGCCTACTAAAAAGAAGGCTTCATTTGATGATAATGATACTTTACATTTCAGTAAGATCTGGATAGTGCTAGTCAGCATCTGGAAATGATCTTTTACAGCAGTCTCTCACATGAGCAAGTGGTGTCGTATTATTCAGATTCCCGGAATGCTGTTCAAGTCTTGAATGGGGTAATTCAAAGGCTTTGCTTTCCAAGCTTATGCATCCTTTGTTTTGTGGTCCTGGTATCATCTGATTGATTAAATGGCTCAGGATATTTAATTGAGACTAAATATTGCTTTCAGATAGAATGGTGAAATGATGTACACATGTTTATACTTTTCTTATTTCAGTTTGTCTTCCTCCTCTAGTTCTTCCTGTGGCAAGTTTTGAAGTGCAGTAAGGACTGGAATGATTGCCCTCTGGGGTACTAGTATGCCTTCAAACACATAGGCTGTCTGCTAGGCATCATACTTTCACTGATTTAATGCAAATACTTTACATTAAAAAATACAGTAAAATGGGTAATTAATGTATAAGCCAGCAAAATGTCTTTAACATAATCTTTATTTCAAAGATAACTTCGAAACATTGAAAGTTACCTTGAAGTACGATGGGCAGCCTACAAATTTTATAAATCAATCAATCAATAAATAACTTTTTGATCCTTCATAAATCCCCACAAGCTTTCTTAGAAAATAAGATTGGTTGCTGCTTATGCTTTGTTTGGAAATGTATTCACCTGCCTAGAAAATGAGAGTAAGCAGGGATAATAGGTAGCATTTTGTGAGACAGACAGATGATAGCTTTGCCAGTAATCTATGAATGGAGAAACCCTTTAATAGCTATTTTGCTTCAACATCTACAGTATGACCTCAAGATTATAAATAAGTACACAAGATTGAAAATGGATTATAGAACAACAGAATGAAGAAATAGTTAAATCTGCATTTTCCCATTGTTACCTCTTGGCTCTATGTTTTGTTTCCTGGACTGAATTCATATTTTAAAAGGCTGGGATTGTTTTTTGGAGAGAGATATATAAGGCCCTTAAGGATCTTTCATTTTTGTAGGTCCTGATGTAGTCTGCAGATGGTGGTCATCAGCAATCACAATGATAATCAGCTGGCTCAAGGGTGATGATACAGCTGTGAAATCTCAGTTTATCAACGTAGAACGAATTCCTAAATGCTTGGAAATGATGGAGTATGTGGTCTTTTATATTATTTGTACAACTGTGTATCTGAAATCTAAAAGGGGCATAATAAAATAGAAAGTTCCCTAATCTTTAACTTTGATCTCCCATAAACATATCACAACTCTCTGTTGGGTACCATGAACCTAAATTATAACTTGTTTCTTCAAATAGTTTCTAAATTAACCCAAAACTTTACAGAATTGGATATCCCAAGTTTGCCTAGAAGTAGTAGATGCAAAATATCAGTTTAGAAATCTACTATACTACTATTGCATCATTATCTAATGATAATTCATTTATAGGGCTTATCTTAGCACTTTTTGGGAAGTATATATACCAAAGCAGTATACATAGCAAAGTATCTGAAAATACATTTTTTAAAAAAAGGGTTTGTTGAGTTCTAGTTCCACTTTAGCTATGAAAGTCAGCTTGGTGACCTTGGACCAGTTTCTTCTCTCAGTCCAACTCATCTCATAGGGTTGTTGTTGTAGAGAAAATAGGAGGAGGCAGGTATGTTGGATATTTTTTCCACCTGGTATTACTTGTAAAAATAATAAAGGCAGGATACAAATAAATCTACTGTTCACAAAACTTAAAAGACATTAATCATTTTCCTTGCTATGTCTCTCCTCCTCTCTACATGTCTATAGGAATGCCCTTGTAAGAGCTATCTTCCATGTATGCAAAGCCATGAATGTCTTGTTGTCTAGCAAGGCAGATGGGCAGCATAGTTCATTTAGTCATTGTGAAAGAGCAAGTACTCATCTCTGGAACAGTCTCAATATGAGAAGTGGGATCTCAAGCACAAGTCTCAACAACGTAAGCCATACACATTTACTTGAATTAAGATAACTATTAAACCATTTTTTTTGTTAAATGTCTTTGAGATTGAAAGCCTAATTTCTTCTTATTCACCCATGAATCAATGAAGAATCTTCTTCCTTCTTTTGCCTGCCTCCAGTGCAGCAAATACATACAGTGCATTATACCTGTTTCCAAAGGAAAGGCAGGTGGGATAGCATGTTTCACAGTGCACAGGACAAGTGCTTGCTTGACCCATTCTTTTTTCTCTTGAATTATGCATCCTAAATGAATTATTTTCATAGAAGAACAAGGATATGGATTTCCATAGTTAAGAACAGTTCTCAATTTTTGCATCATGAAATTGGCTCTTTCTTCCTATCTTTGTTTTTAATACTAAGTGCACTTTGAGTTTCATAAACATGAAGGTTTCTTAAAGTCAGATTCTTTCTTTATACCTATTGGGTGGCAACTGTAGTGCATTGTAGTTGCATTGCATGTTCTGGAAATACTCATGCAATGTTTCTGCAGTGCAGTTCAGAGGCATACCTGATCTCTGCGCTACAAGTCAAGTCTCCTGATCCTTGGTTTCAAAGTTTTCATTGGTATCGGACGGAATTCTTAGGAACTTTATATAAAGATTAAAGTGAATAAAGAGGCCATTTAATCTAGCCCATCATCCAAAGGTAGGAAGGACTATTTAATTCATCAACCCTCTTATAGATTAATCAGTGAAATAAGGATTACTGTACCCCCAAAAAGAGATCAAGTGCAAGAAATAACATGCAGAATCAATATTGTAGATTGAAACAACCCAAAGAATACCAGGCAAAGAAAAGGCAAACATATAGCTGCTCTACTGTATTTAACACTTTGCTTATGGTTTGTATTTTGAAAGAATAAATTAATCAAGTTGTATGCTTCTTATAAAGCATTATTTTGTCATTAGAGATTGTGCAACATTTTAATTCTGTGAACACTGATGCTTTATGCCATTTTTATTTTGATCCAACGTTGTATTGGTTTCTGTTTCTGAGGAATTGTTGAGTCAAATGCATATTTCTTTAGGATACATTTTCAATATATGCACAGATAAATCAATTTTTCAGCTGTCTCTTGTTAATGCAATTCAAGATGAATATAATGGTTTCACTATATTTCTAATTTGTTCTAAAAGTAGAATTTCACAAAGCACTAATTAAACAGGAAACAAAAATTGGTTAACAAATAATGATTAAGCAATGTTATATGTATTATAAAGAATTTTAATATTATTTGGCAGCAGTGTCTTTGAGATATCTTCTTAGATGTACGCTGGCCTGGATTTTTTTTTTAAACACAATTGAAGATACTGGTTTTCTGACTTTAAATCTGAGCTTAAATCTTTTTTGACTCTGGGGAATAGGGGTGCTCCTTTGATTGGGACTTGGAGCTTAAGGACTGGCCCTGGTGAAAGTCCTCTTTGATTTTTATGTTGCATATTGCTTAATTTTACTTGATTTAAGTAGTTACATGCTGTTAATATTTCATAGGATCTATTTTATCTATCATTTTTGTAAAGGGGTTACCTATTTAATTCCTTTAGAATTGTCTAGGTTTTTAATGTGGCTGCTTATTTTTTTTCTATATTCTAATTTAACTGATACTTTTTAAATTCCTGTTTATTGTTTAGTTTTATAATAAATCTATGTTTACTATAATGTAATAATGCAATAATATATAATAATGATAATGACTATTATTAAAAACTGTTGTGCATTTTGGTAACTAGGACGTAGTTTTTGGGATTACTGGGCCATATGTGGTTGTCTGAAACTTTGACTGTGATGACCAGAAATTTTCAAGCAGAATTACTGCCC